GCCTTTCCGGCTTGTTCACCTGCAAGCTGAAGGCTGGCCTGCAAAGTGAGCACAGCTGTAACAACTGTCACCTTAGCAATTCCAGGGAAAGGAAAACATCTGGCTTTGGATATTGTGACAGAGGTCCTTGTGACACACATTTGGTATATTATGTAAAATAGTTTGAAACGGTGATCAATGAAAACACTAAGCAAGTTTTTGGTGAGAAAAATGTCAATAAAGTAACATAAAATGAATGAGATGGAGTTAACATTTGTATGGTCTATCATTTGATGAAAACATTTGAAGTTATAGATGGTTTAGGATCTATCAAGTGATTCACAAACTCTGAAGAGATAAAAATTGAACTGTATCTAGGGCAACATAAATACAGCTTTGCACTTTACTATTTGGTAACAGACAATTTATCTGGGATTTTTTAAAAAAGGAACCATATTGATTTTAGGTAAAAAAGAAAAAGTTGTAAAACTAGCTCGAAAAACCCACCCTAAATATGCATTAGAAGGGTGCAGAGGGCCCTACTCTCCTCCCTACACTGTTCTTAGCTTTGGCTGACACTTTTTCGCACAACGCTTCAGCAAGCTTGCGTAAAGACACGGCCTACATTCACTGGGGGTGACTGCTTCTTAAAGCTGCCTGTCAAGCTGTTACCAAAGACCGTCTCCTAGCATTCACTCCACACGGGCGAGAGTTTGAGCATCGGTGACAAACATGCGGCATGGTGTGCTGCTCAAAGGCGTAAAAATACTGAAAACTAAAGAGAATTCATTTCTTGCATATTTTAGATGATAAAACTAAATTCACTAAGAAGAACTAGTAAAAGCAAGAATTTATAAGAAATGACAGGGATTATATAGGTAAAAAAAGTCCTAGAAAACCTTTGGAAAGCATTCTTTTTTTTTTTTTTTTTTTTTTTTTTGTGGATAGCTCAACCGGCCCGGGGTGGGGATGGCACTGTGGTACCAGAGATCAAACCATGGTCCTCACACTTGCCTAAGCAGGTGCTTTAGACTGCCGAGCTATCTTGTTGGCCCTGCAAAGCATTCTTGATTCTATTATTTGATGTTCTTGAAATATGTATAAATTAGTATTAAAAGGAGAATTTTCCAAAGTGTTTTCAAGGGGTGCTTAGAAATAAGTCCTCCTGATCCAATAGTCTTCTTAAGTTTCATTAAAACATGAACACTTCTAGTCAGTGTCCAAGGGAAGAGTGGACGGCACAGAACTGCTTGTTCTCAGATTAATATCTGGATATTTGCTCAAATTAGTGGACCCAAATAGGACTAGGAAAACATCATGCTACGGCAGAATATGGCTCCACAAGCCTTACTTACTTCCATTATAACATTAAGGGACATTTAAAATGGATTTACTTTTCACTGAAACATCTTTCCTTCGAAGGTTGAAGATGTATTCAGAACAGGTGATGCCTTACTCTGAGGGTAGAAAGAGGAAATCGGAAATATTATGAACCAAAGGAAAAATAACCATCAGCAGGTGGAATGTTTCTTGTAAGATTGCCCCAGTAGGACAGAAATCAGATATCAACACAAGGGCCAATCAATTGAGGTCTCACCATGGCCAGCTCAATGGATACAAAAGTGTGACATTCCACTGGGAAGGAGACTGAAATCCGAGCCAAGCATCCGCAGATGGGGAGCATCTGAAGGACACAAGAAGGTGCTTGTCACCTGTTTTTCTATTTGGAGACTTTGAGAGCAGAGAGAATGCAGGAAATGGTCCAGAGAGCGGAGTGCTTAGGGAGGGGGAGGCGGGGCGCCATCGGCTCAGGCTTTGTCACTCAGGTGACTTGGACTGATTGGCTCATTTGTATGAGTCATTTAATTTGAGTCATTTAATGGAAATCTATTAAAATCTAAAGCTGTATTTAGAGCCCGCCCCAATTTTAATGCTATTAAAAATCCTGCTTGCTTGCTTGCTTTCTTTCTTTCTTTCTTTCTTTCTTTCTTTCTTTCTTTCTTTCTTTCTTTCTTCTTCCTTTCTTTTTTTTTACAAAATTGCTGATCAGAACATCCAGTGAATGGCAAAGGGAGTCCGTTTAGAGTGACTGGGATTTTGCCCGAGTGCGTACTCTCTGGGGAAGAGAAGCTTAGATGAAGACCCGACGCTCACCCTCTAGCAGACATCTACGGATTTTATTGTATTTCTCAATTTTAATCCACATCCTATGATTATTTTGAAAACAAGCCAAAACGATGGTCCTGACTCTTGGAGTGAGGTCAAGAGATACCTCGAAGGGCGAGAGTCCTGGAGTCAGCTCCCAAGTGCCAGGGCTGGGGGTCCCTCACAAGGAAAGGACTTTGTAGCAGGAATGAGTGGTGGTGTGTGACTCGCTCCCACTTTCTCAAGTCTTAGGACACAGAAGGAGAGCAGGAAGATGCAACAGGAGAGCACACTTCGGGCTGCTGTGGGAGGCAGAGAGCACAACAGAAGAAGTAGAGCAAGAAGAAGGGTTTTCCTAGGGAGGGAGAACCCATCTTATTTTTTCTTCTAAACTTGAAGCAAATTCAGTAGGTGGAATGAAAGTATAAAAATGATATTCAAATTAGAATGTAGATATTCAAATCTGATACAATGTCAGAATTTAAAAAGACCTCAGAGATAGATAACGGCAGTGATTCCTAAGTTTGGGGTGCTTATCAAACATCATATTCCCAGGTCTCATCCCTAGAGACTGATTAATTCAATAAGATCAATTGATACCCACTGCGTTTTAGGCTCCATGGACAGAGCCATGACGTGGTTCAACTCGCTGTCTCTTATTTGAGGACCCAGGAGGCCCGCGCGTCGCGCGGTTTCGTTACTGGCGTTACCCTTCCTTCAGTGCCGCATTCTGCCGTCACCTTGGCGTTTGAGTGGAATAGAGGCAAACAAGACACAGTTTTCCCAGAACAGGCAGAGCAAAATGGATTACTTTTTCTGCCAAGATGGGCAGATGTAGTGTCACTTTGGACACATTAATTCATCTAACTGAGCCTCAAGGTCACCATAAGGAAGTAGAAATTTTAAAAAGTCCTTAGGCTCTTGGAATTTGGGGATTTTTTGTCAGAATTAAATGAGCTAACTGGGTGTAGTGGCGCGCGCCTATCGTCCTAGCACTCAGGAGGCTGAGGCAGGAGGATCACCACAAGTTTGAGGCCAGCCAGGCTACACTGTGATTCCAACCTAGCCTGAACTACATAGTGAAACCCTGTCTCAAAAGCAAAAACAAGGAGACCAAAAGACCCCACTTGAGTAGGTGGCTATGTTCGTTGTGTGATCAGTCAGTTACTGTGATTGTGCACGCTGATGAGGCCCTAAGGGGTGGTTTATCGGAGGGAAGCGCAGTCGTGGGTACTCAGAGCTGGAGGACACTTCACCGCTGTTGCACGGTGTTCTCATTTAAATTAGACCGCCAGCGACATTCCTTCCCTGTTTGGAGAGCTCTTGCCTCCCAGGAGTCTCTGTACAATTTGATTTGTAAAAGTTCTACTACACAGAGCTTGAAAATGACGAGAAGTCCCACCAGTTCACTCTAAGGACAGAAATTAGAAGGGCCGGCCACTTCTGCGAGGTCGTATGGCAGGAATCAGGACGAGTAATGGAGCGGTCTGCGTCTTTGACCAGAAGATTGCAAAATGCAATGTGTGTGATTATGGCTCAAGTACTTTCAGATTGAGACCAAGTAAAACATATATATCTGTCTGTCTGTCTGTTTTTTGCCTTCTGAGACATTCCCATCCACATACCCAATCAAGACCATTTGGGACATAGCCGTTCTTTCTTAAAAAGTGAAATATTCTCAAATACTACACAGTAAATTTTCATGCTGTCTGCATATGTAGAAAATAGATCTTTTTTTAAAAAATTAAAAGCTTGATTTCTAATCATTATAAATTCCAATTTTGATAAAATTCAGATCATTGATAATCATTTCTTTTTAAAAATTTCATGAAAATAGGGATTTTATTTGAAGAGAAAACATACTTTGCATGTTGCCAAAATAAAGTAATATCATTTATACTTTCTATCTTTCTAGAGCACAGCCTTTTAAAGTTATAATTTGCAGGAAATAATATTCTTGTTAACTAGAATCATTCCTTTTTATGTTCGGTCCTGGCACTGAGCACTACCTGGCTGGAGTAGCCCGTCCTGCCGAGCACGGGGCTGACAGGACCCTACCTTGGCAGCTCTTTGATATGAGGGACTTTGGCATGGACGAGGATAATTTTTCAGAATATGAATCCCCATTTTACAACACTGCAGCTATAGGTTTAGCAGGAGATTATAACCCACAGAATTAACAACACAAAATAGACGTCGAAGTCTAGCTTCCCCTCTGAGCTCGCTGGTACGAAGCGGCCTGCTGTGTGCCGGTGGGAGGAAGCCTGCCCTGGCCAACAGCTTTACTAGTTTTCGAGCCCACTGACACCTATTCTGTTTCAGAAAGACCAATTGTGCGGCCATAGGATTTCTTCATAGCTCAAATTTAGTTCCTGGAAACATCGGAGACTAGTGCAACCTACTTTTAAGTACATTTTTATAATAGTATAATTTTTTTTGAAAAAAAAAAACCCTTTGTGTTTAATTACTAATTCAACCTAAATCTATATAAAATATCAAGAGAAAGACATGAGAACCAATAATATTTACACATTTTTAATATGCCTTGTTAGTATTCAATATGTTTTTCATGAACTGATTACTTAAAAACACATTTATATCATATGCTGGATAATTCTGTTTTCCGCTGCTTACCCTTTACTTGTTTTTGTGTTCTAAATTTCTGTAGGCTTTATGGGATGTCAATTTGTGTTTTTGCAATTTTCTATTTTGGTTTCAAAACCAAATTGGATATCTTTACTTAGAATGAGTATATTATTCAATTTGTTGAAAAACTTTAGCACCCGAGTGCCGTGGGGAGCCAACCGAGAGTTTAAATCCTAAGAATTCCTTGGAGGTAAAATCTACCTTTTCGCATATACTCTTGGTGGTCCTGACTAAAGGTTACAAATATTAATTTAAAAAGTTCTGCTACAAACAATTGCTGGTCGCAATCTCATTGGAAAAGTAAGGCTTAAAAAATTTAACTTGATTCCAAAATTTAAATGAGCTAAAGATTCTTTGTCTAATTTGGGTGAATAGAAGATGCAACTTACCAACAAATGATCAATGTGACAGCTTAACTTCAGTTACTTAACAGAATAATCGAGAAGGGGAACCGGCTGTGTTTAAAGTAAGCTCTGTGACTCAAAGGAAGACCAACGCTTTCCGATGGCGGTGTGGGAGGCTCGCAGCCGCAGCTGCTGGCTTCTCCCTCCGATCCCAGATGAAGCCTGGCCCTTCCTCCTGCGTCCTGCAACAGCACAGTGGCTCGGGTAACTCTTTTCTCAGTTCCCCAAGAATGACAGGAGATTGGCATTTTATACAATCGAATCTTAATTATCCAACAGGATATTTATTGCACAATAACGTGAATAGAATTTCAATTTTAAATTGTATGTGTTCCTTCCTCAACGATACAAACGGTGACAATTAAAATTCTCCTGGATCTAAACAGGAAACTAAGAAGTCCTTTTCCCCCCTAAGATTCTCATTCTTGGTATTTTTTTTTTTATTCCTGTGGGTAAAGAGGAAGACTTGGGGCATCACTGCCCAGTGCAGGAGGGGAGAGGCTGTCTGTTCAGAGGAATGGCGTAAAGTTGTTAACCAGCTCTATTCTGGAAAGCCTTGAAATCTTAAACTCGCAATTTTGGGGTTAGCCTCACTGGCCACTCAGCAAGCTCCGCATTTGCTAAACTGTGTGTGTGGGGGAAGCAGTTAAGACTCACCATCGTCTTTACTCTTGATTATAATTTAATATACTTAAATTTTAATATGAATTGCTTTCCCTTTTTACATAAGTTATAAAAATAAGAGGCCCTGTTTACAGTTTGCGTTTTTATGAAATTTGCAGTTTGAAAAAAAAGCTTTTTAAAAAGTGGTACTTAATGCTTTTCTTTGAATATGCTGTAACCTTAGAATTTTTTTTTCTGAAATAGTTTCTGAATTTAACCCACTAAACATTTGAAGACTGAATTTTTATTTAGCACTAGAGTAAAAGATAGTAACGACTGAAGAAAAGCAAGTTTTTTCTTCCTGGTTCCATCTGCGCTTTTTCTATGTGGCACCCCCTTTCTGACAGCTATCAACATTATATTTAAATCTTATGTATTGACAAAATGCACTGTACCGCAGGAAGCTTTGTGTCAATCAGACGGTACTACTATTGAATTTACATACCACAGTTTAAATTACATCCGTTTCAGGAATAGTAAAATGCTAAAACTCAAGTGTCTAACTGCCTTACTGGAATGAGTACAATTTACAAATACAATAATTACATTTTAAAACCATTAACAATATTACACCTAGAAGTAAATACTGTAGGACTGGTCACCGCGGCACCGCGTGAAGGCCAGCGCTGCCCGAAGCTGCAGGCTCCCCGGTGGACTCCTCCCAAGCGCAGATCCTAGTTCGTTCGCGTTGGACCAGAATTAAAACCTGTTTCTCACGCAGGAGTTCTGCATTCTCTGACTCCTCCGAATCCTTGCAGAAGATTTTATTAGTTATCTGCCAAATACTTTCCTGTAAAAGAAGCACACCAGCAGTTCACCTGCGGGCTTGATAAAGTGACTCACGTGGCTAGCATTTGCACCCCTCTACCTTCTCCTCAGAGCCATTGACCATACGCTTTAGGATATGATACTAGTGTAAAATATGCAAAGGTTACTAAGTTTTCATTTTTGTCTTTTCAGACTTCAAGGTGATCGTGGTTTGTAGGGGTTTGGGTTTTGCTGAGAATAGGTTGGGACACTACTTCTTGCATTTGAGAATCCAAATAATGGCAAGAAGCGTATGCAAATAATTTATTTTCCAGTTTGGGCCATTGTTGAGAGTGAAAGGGATAGGATTACTAACTGCGAGGTCAGTCAGACAGCCGTACAAAACCAGATTTAGGGACTGGGGTGGTAGCTGAGTGGCAAGCACCTGCCTAGCTGATTCCCAACACGGCAAAACAAAGAACCCCGCCCCTGGATTCCTACCAGCCAATCGCTGACAAGTATGATCAACCTATTACTGGGGACCCTCCTACCCCATTAAAAAGAACCCTTGTGCCAAACGAAATCTAGGCCAGGCCACATCTACTTCGTGGGCAGTCAGTTCCAATCTGGGGCCTATGTTGCTACTAAGTTGAAACCTAGACCCTCCCAGGTCTAGAAGCTAAGTGTAATGTCCACGCAGGCCTGTTGGAGGGCAGGTTTTCAAGCGTCTGAGAACCCTTGGCCTTCAGCGTGCAACAGGGTTTGTGTGTGCTTTCTGTCTTTTTCTTGGTTTTCAGGTAGGAGACAAATCTGAAAGGCAAGAGCATTTGTCCTCTTTGCAATATAACCAAAGCAGATTTTACTGCGTGGAGTTCAAATACAGGTCTAAACCGGGGAGGCTGGCCGGCTCGGGGGAAGTAGCCAGGGAATTCTTCGTTCCTGATTTCAGGTCCATTGTTGCACTCATATTCCACCCAGCAGTTGTTCTGCCTTCTAAATGTGCTGGAGTTTTAAGGTAAGGGAGGGGAGGATGATTTGGAAACCACAATCTATTTCTTCATAGGAAAGAGGAGCTAGGGTAACCTTATTCTTTTTTTTTGTATTGGAGGGAAGGTTCTACAGGGTGTTCAGGGTCTCACCACTAGATCGGACTCCTGTTTACAGCCTCCCAGGAGCTGGGATTATAGGCTCAGGCTACCATGCCCAGTCTCCATTGCCATCTCAGCGTGCCCCAGGGGTGGGGCTGGCACTGCAGGCCCGGGGATTGAACCTCCAGCCCCTGTGCCTGCTTGCGGATGCTTTAATCCACTGAGCTATCTGGTCTGCCTTAAGGTAACCTTATTCTTACAAATGGATTTTGAGATAGCCTCGTACCTGCAGCAAACCTCTTCTTGATGAGTGAAAATCGGTACCCTGCTCCCACAAGTTCGATGTCACAACCGGAAAGGGTGCTTCCCTCGCTGGTGAACTGCACTACCAAGGGGGAAGGTTTGCTTGGACCTTCGGATAACTGAAATCTTGCCAATAGAGAACCCACCCCTGAAAAAAAAAAGTATTATTGCAACATGACTGTCAAGTCGACATTCTAGATGCAATTTTGAAAATTATATTTGAAAGTTAACACATGAAGTTGGACTTGTTATGATATAATAAGTTCTTCAGGGACAACATAGTGATGAGAAAAACATATCACTATGAAGAGAGATTCTCTCCGCACACAGATGAAAGTGTAATTCAGCAAATAGTACTTCAAAATTCCATGGTGCACATGCGGAGGGCCCTGTACTTTCGAGTCTATGATTATTATGTCAGAGGAAAGTGAATGATATCTGCTCTCTGTGGGGGGCACGGGGTCTGAGAGCAGATGGAGACAGTGTGGCTCTTCTCTGTGCCCCAAGGGACACCGGCCTGGGGTGAACCGTGGTAGGAAAGGGGCCGAGGTGAGTCACTGCAGATTCTTTGCTTTTACTGATTAATACCTAAATGCGAAAGTGAAGCGGTCAAACATCCTGCTTATTGTTAGCACACGTGCTGCCGAAGCGAGTGCTTGCTGTTAGCACTGCACGTGCTTTGCCTCAGAGCTGGCTGATACCTGCACATAGCTTTGGCTTTACATATTCAATAAAACAAGCCTGCGGCTCCCTCACCTCCGTTTTCTGACTTCTGAGAGATATCAGGGATCTTCCACAATATTCTTTGCTGTTCAGCATTCCTGAAAATAAAACAGACCAAGGCTTGCCCAAGTGTAGTCCATATTTTTTCCAGATAAAGCCATATTTTTTCCAGATAAAAGTTAAAAAAAATAGATCTGCAAAAGTTAACAGCTATTTAAAAACGAAAGCAGGGTAAATGGGGCTGGGCGATAGCTCAGTGGCCTAAGCACCTGCCTGGCAAGCGCAAGGCCCTGAGTTTGATCCCTAGTACTAAATATAAATACATAAATGAATAAATGAACAGAAGGGTAAGCATGAGCCATCTGTGGTGAAATGGCCGTATCCTGAGGCCAAGATGCTCAGTGACCTACACCAGACATGGGAGCTTAATGATCATACGGCTTTCCGTACGTGAGAATCCTACAGTGTGCACGAGTGATGGAGCAAGATAGAACAAGGACTGATGTGAGCCAGGAGGTTGGTCTTTCTCAGATGGGAGGAGGGGACCCAAGGCTGACAGGAGGGGGAGGGAACGCAGGGAATGAAGACGCCGTATGGCCGTGCACCAGCTCCCCAGGTGCGTGTGGTTGTTATGAGCTTCAGACAGGCACTAATTAAATTTTAAGACTTTTTTAACAAAAGCCAAAAAACAGGAACAAAGACAAAACAGCTACAGTAATTTCTACTTTCTGCCCTTAAGCTGCTCATACAGATAGCTGCCGTGTCCTATGGGAAATACATGTGTGAAGAAGCCCATGACCCGAGTTCAAGCCCAGCTTGTGCAGCTTAGTGATGTAGTGAGACCCGGTCTCAAAATGAAACACAAGAATGGGCCAGGATGTAGCTCAGTGTGAAGACCTGGGGGCCCCTCTCCCCTGCCATGGGGCCCTTCATACCAGACAGCTGGCGGGAGCACAGCCTGGAGCTTCGTCACGCCGCCATCTACAGGGACCAGGAACTGCACATTGTTGAGGGCCACGGCGGTGGCCATGGCGTCCGAGTTGTACTTGTAGTCGATGCGCAGGTCGGTGCTAGCGGGTTCACACCGCCAGTTCACTGCCAGGTTCAGGGGCGTGGACTGAATGCCCTGTGCTGACACCTTGTCAAACGACAGGAAAGGGGACATGTAAGGTGCGACCTTTGATCTGACACAGAACCAGGAGCTGCCATGGTCTCCCAGAAGAGGGGTCGGTAACCTGGTGTGCTAATGTTTGGGTTGCTGCATTCACCAATGAGCTCAGTGATGGCAAAGAGCCCTTGTGTCTTCTGTGGATTGTCACTGAGTTACGGTGTAGACTGTCTCTGACCTGGGACAAGCCACCAAAGCTCTCTGAGCCTCAGGAATGTCCTCATCTACCAAATGGGAATTGCAACAGTAATCTTTACCCCTTGGGTGGTGAGGAAGATGGAAGGAGGTCAACTGCATGGAGCATAACGCAGCAAGGGACTCAGGTTTTGATAAACACCATGTAGTAATATTCTTGCCTTGTTTGCTCTTCTGGACAAACCAAGCGGGCTGTTACTACTTCTTTATGATTTGCGAAAACTGGGACCTGAATCCAGTTCCTCTAAATGGAAATATTGCATTCTAGTTAGGCCTATCTGTGAGTGAGTTAGGCCAAGAAACAGCCACGGTCAGAGAAGCAAAGAATTCCATCTTAGGAGAAGACACTGGTCTGGGTCCTCCGTGACCACTCATATAATTTCTTGGTTGCTCCCTGTGATGGCACATGGCCTCTGCGAGGCTCTGCTCTGTGAAGCTCAGGCGCACTGCAGGGACTGTACAAATGGTGCCTTGTCCTGGGATCTGTGAGCATGGACTTCATGGTTTTTGGAAAACACGCAGGACTCCCTAGGAGTTGGCTATACCATGGGGCACCCAGGATTCACTCTCCAGGCAGGACTGGTCGCCATGGACAGCAGCCTGGAATGGGTTCTTTATAAGATGACTGAATATAGCCAGTGGACTGTTAGGGCAGTTTTTTTTGGTTTTGTTTTTGAACCCAGGCCCTTCCACTTGTCAGGCAAGTGCTTATTGTACTGAGCTAACTCCCCAGCCCTGTTATAGCAGTTTTTAAACTTCAAACACTGTTAGCTGGCCAGGCCTTTCTGTAGCTCCATCTTGCCTCACTGACCCTTTCCTGTCCTGCCTGCTCAGCAGGACCCTTCCTGTGCCTGCACAGGCACCTTTGGCAGAGGTCAAAGGGAGAAAGTTCACCTGCTTAGATTTCAGGGACATTGCCCAACACACTCATGGTGGCCACTCCCAGAGGCGGGCACTGCTGGAAAAGACAACTGAACACCAACAAAAGAGATTCTTCAGCACACACCGGAAAATCAGGGCAGGACTGGGGCCCTGTGTGTCGCCCACAGCAGCCTGGGACGTAGCTCAGTAGGTGCCCTTCCAGCCCTTGTTGGCAGCTGAGGAAACAGCTTTGGGGCCATCACATGCCCAAGACGAGGGCCTTCGGGAAGTCTACCGTATTCAGGGCTCGCCTGCACTCAGCAGTTTGCACAGAGCTCCTCCTGCTGTCGGAGAACTGTCTACCCTCTAGTCTCCCTTAAGGACAAATGTGCAGGTTTTAAGTTTCCACAATTAAGAAAAAACTAAAACGTAAACACGAATGCAGTGTGTGTAACTAGAATTCATGAAGGAGAATAACCAGTTTTATTTTCATACTTGGTCGTGAGAACCACAAAAGAACCCTGAAATTTAACTTCTCATTCAGGGAAATAGTGCATTGTGAGATTCCAGGTTTTACTCCTTTTCATTTATTTCAAGCAGCCACTAAACAAGTTTGAGAGAAAATTTTAAAAGTGTGCGTTCTATCATATTATAAATTGATAAATGTATGGCACATGCTGTGTTCCCTAGTTCTCTATTAGGTATAACGCCCAAAGCTTAAATGATGCTGTTCTCATAGGAAATATGCTACATTTGCTTGCATTTTTGTGTAATGTACTGTCATGGGGCAGTTCACCTTCTGTGGTTTCCTTACAGTATCTTGAAGGCTTTAGAATCACTCAGAACATAGCAAAAATGCAGACACCTCAGTCACAGCTGAGCCATGAAACAAAATTCTCTGGAATGTCAGAGTGAA